GAATGTTCCTCTGGTATCTTCCGCCTCTCTTTTACTTAAAGGGATAGAACTACAGTCAAGAAAATAGATTTCCTAAAGTCGGGCCAGTTCAACTAAGATTTCTTTATATAGGTTTCCCCCCAGACGGAGGCTAGATACGTTAACAGTTGCAAATTTTGCTGGTAAATATCTACCACCAATTCAAACGTCCTATACTATAGTACCAGTCCTGGTATCTATGATGAGTTTATTTCCCTCCTCGTTTTTGATTGTGACATTACCGAATGAAATGTATTTGCACGAGCAACACGGTGGTTCTACGTGTTGATCAGGAACTTCTTTCCCTCCCGGTACACATGAGCTCACTCCAGTTCTTTGGGTTCGTGTTGCTAGTCTTTGGTTTTCTGTGTAATGTTTTGTCATTGTTGTTTTCATCGTTCTTCTTTTGACCTTCATGATGTCTGTTTTGATGGGACTTATCATTTTTGATTGACCCCTTGTTGTCTTCTTTCTTTTTGTTGGATATCTCATATTTACTACTTACTTCGAACAAGTTACCAGCAAAATATTATAGCGTTATATGTTCTTTTGTAATGGCAAGGGAATATCATAACGTTTTCATCATGTCTTTCAGAAAATAATCTTTCACAACCAAAACTATATACTATAAGAATATTTCTTTCCAATCGTGTTACATTGTATCAATTTCGTTCATTTTACCGAGAATACGGAAGATTAAAATTTAAAGGAAAAAGTATTAAGTGTCAAATGTTTAAAAACACAAACGATTGAGATATACACCCCATCCCATTGTCTAACATGATTTTTTTGCTCTAATGGTTGTACTTTCACCTCGTTAAGATAATTTTTCGTCGAATATAATAGTTTGTAATGCTTCCTTGTTGTCATAGTAGTAATCAGATATTGAACATTTTGGCTGAAATTGTGTCCGCTTTTGCCTCTTAAACAGAATGACCAACACAGATTAATATATCTTGTTTGTGGGAGGTAAAACCACGCTTTGTAAAGAAAATCCGACCTGATTCGAACAAAGAGAAGCGCAGTACAGTAGATATTTAACCCGATTGTTGCATTTGGTCCAAACAATGGTAGACTTATGTTCCTTATATAATTTTACATCTACATGCAATCAGATAACGTAACCGAAAAGGTTTGTAGAGAGGTATTACACTGATTATTTTACTTCCTATCACCACTTTGTAAAAGGAAAAAAGCTATAAGTTGATAATAGACAGCTGTATAACGAAAATAAAAAGAGAACAACAAACGATAGTCAACAAAATACTACACATTAATTATCCAACACTATCCTTCACCCTTTTTCCAAAATAAATTAAATAGGTGTCCCGGAAGAGTTAACACATGCTGCTCTACTAGTTTCACATATCCACCGTGCATGTCATGGGAAGTTAAAGATTCGGTGTAAGTCGCATTCAGTGATGTCAATTAGAAAAGGACGAGACTGTGGCAGCAACATGTGGAATATATCCATGGTCATTTGTGACCCATATATTTCATCAAGGTCAAGAATAGAATCCTGGCGTCCGATAAATGTTTACTTTACCTTTACCTTTTTCCACCCGATGTAAAACTTCTTTGCAATCAGTAACCCTCTGTCCAAGGAAATCACGATAGGAAACGCAATTCCTTAACTATCATATTAACTTGAAAGTATACACCCTCCACAGGTAGTAACTACTTTAATTGCACTAAATATAAATGGAAAGATCTCAATTATAAATTGAAATGATTTTATGTATCGTATAGTTTGGATCTAAACCAACTCACACTGCTAATTTCAAGATTTAAGTCTAGATATGAAGCACGTGTGGATTTCGTTATTTTTTTATTTTTTTGGAGTTCAATTGGAATGTATTAGATCAACATACATGACATAGGCATCAAATTTTACCAATAAGAACGTGAAGATAAAAGATAATACTAGCTTCTTATAATTGTTTTTGAGAAGCTCCCATACGAAGTCTGCCTCATATGAATAAACAAAAAGTCGGCAAGAAGAGGGGTACAGATGGTTCCCGCATAAATGACCACTTTCTGTTGAAAAATACGTACACCAAAAGTAAAGAATATAATACCAATTAAAAGTAACCGTGTATATCGTACAATTACACCTTATATAAAATATTTTGATTGGTTGATAGCTATTGTATTTGTCATGTATCTTCGTTAATGAGATTTGTTCATGCATGCCTATCGCCGGGATAAATATGCACAAGTGTATGCCTTAGTTACTCTTGTCAGTAGTATATGCATGTTTTACCCTTCACGGAGTCTTTTGATCATTTGTGCACTTTTTAAATGTGGTTGTCTTTGCTAACGTCTTAAAGCGAAAGAATAAATGAATTTAATTTCAAATGATATAATTGTTTCTATAACAGTCCTGAGTAGAAATTTCCTTTGCCTGACGGCTCAGCAAATGTTACGGTCTCTTGACTGATATTTGTCGTAAATCCCCCTCTCAAAAATGATAAATCTATTTATGATTTGTCGATAGAGTTAGAAAAATTTCCAGTGCAAGACTTGTTCCTTCCAAAAACAACCTATTTATGTCTAGTTGGTCCTTTTTATGACACAAAATAAGGCATGCAGTTTTGCAATCTGTCTTTTAGTTTAGAATAACGATAAATTGTACACAAAGTAAATAAGTCAAATATTTTATATTATATCTAGGGGAGAGGGACTAAGATAGAAAGTACTCCTGCATATTTTTTTATTTTATTTTATCCATATCCAATCCAGATCGCTCCAAGAGAAGATTAATTCATTAAAATAAATTCTGAACCCCGGTTTTTAATGATAATAAATTAGATGTTAGTTATATGAACGCGGTTTCTTGAGGCATTTAGCAGACCAAGCAATAAAACGTTTGTAAGAACACCTACGTAATTTGTGTATCTAACAGGGTAAAGGATCGTATTTGGCTGATTTTAGAAAGAAAAATACAACAGGTAAATTATTGATCAGGATTTCCTCTATAGTAGGTTTCATACTGACAAATGTTGGGTCCGTCGTTAAAGAAGACATTTGATATCAAAGTGAACTGTAAAATAATGTAATTTGCCTACACAAACGATATCACTTAGGATCACATTATATATATTTATTTTAGTTGCAACAGATGTTAAGCACTATTTTTGCCTTTGAATATAGATTCAAAACACGAAGTCTCAAAGGCTCTTTCAGTTTTCTTTTTGTATCAACGACCTCACACCTTTAGGTCGTCCAGTTAGAGTTTGAAATATCTTTTTTTGCAGATTTTGCCCATTGTTTGGCACAATCAACGAAACAATCTATCAGTATTTGAAAGTTTTAGGCTATCACATTTGATAGAGAATTGTGGTTGACAATGTTAAAATCACAGGTTATAACGTGGTCAGTCGGATGATGTGTAAATTAGAAACTTGTAGAGGTCCAATCAGGACGTTGAAAAGTTGCATTTGTCGACATACGATCCTACAACTCGTGTTGAAGTCGAACATTTTAGTTGAAATAGGCTTGGAGTAGATACAAGTGATGATTTGAACAAATTATCTTGAAAGAAGGGAGGTATGTTAATATTTATTATCTGATATAGGATATAGCCTAAGTTAATAGCTTCAGCAAGAACTTTATTGTCGAAAAGGAGCGTTTGTATGTGCAATCTTCTTCAAATCCACAGGTATAGGCAATATTCGAGATGATAGCTGAAAAGTTTAATGATAAGAATTGGGGGTTTGTAACGGGTTTTTCTAAGACTAATTTGTCCATTTGATTTAGCTACGAACATTAATTATTATATATCACGAAAAAAGGCAAGACATAGGGCTGTTTATCCGGCGGTGGCAGCGTAAACTATGTATATAAAGCATTATATTTCAGAAGTGACTGCTTAAAAACTATAATTTTTATCACGTATTTTTTTACTTTGTATAAGCAAGATGGTAACTATATTTAAGATAAAGGATCCGTCAGACAGTGTTCATAAGGATGAACGTTAAGTTTCGTGGTCAAATCCGTTTCTTAGATATTAAACGTAATAGTTCAACTATATTTGTATGGAATGCTTTTGAGTTGTATATGTTCGTCTGCCAGCGTTCAGCTGCCCTTGTAGTTGTAATTTAACTATACTATAGTTGCCCTAATGATTATTGTAAGGTGTACATGTCAGGTTCGTTCCACTTTTAGCTTATTTTCATCGTTCATAGGTTTTTCATGTTTTTGTTTAATGTCTATTTCTCAGATACTATATGCAAAAGATCAGCCTTTTTTAGTGAATGGCATGACTGTAAAGTGTGCACGTCCGTTTGGGATCATTTGTCATTTTGTGGTTTCATGATTTGGTCTTTCTCAGATCCTAAACTATATTTAGCGTATGGAATATGGTTAGGTACACCATGTACACATGCCAATACGGAAGTATTACCGTGATCTTAAAGACTTCCAGCTTAAAATTCAATCATGATAAGGAAAGCACGCGAGACATATCAGCCTATGCACTCTTGTTATTTTTTTATCAAACGTTACATCACCCCTCAATCCAATTTAAATAATGTGACAATTTGTCCTGTCTAGAAACCCAAGAATTATAGCAAAATGTATTAAAACTGTTAGAAAAAAGATGATGAAATTTATCTAATTGTCCATGAGATTATTGTAAAAAGAAGTGGAAGATATCATGGGGACATTTAAAGCTCATAAGTCGAGATAAACTGATAACTTTATGGCAAAAAAACGAAAGACAAAGAAAACACACATAAGTCCACACATAGAAAAATAATGACTGAGCAACACAAACTCCACCAAAAACTAAGGGTGATCGCAGGTGCTCTGGAAGGGTAAGCAGAACCCGATCCATTACATACATATTGTAAAATATGTGCATATACAATTACACCGAAGCCATTATATTATAAAATGTGTATTGTGGAAAAGTTAGAAGTAGTCGCCAAAAATATATAAAATTCACATTACTTAAAATCTAAGTTAACATGTATTTTTTTTTCTGAGCAAGATTTTACATACATTTTGCTTGGATATAAAAAGGTTCGTAGAAAACATGACATTAGAAATGTAACGTTAGAAATATTAGTAAACGTTATTTTAATTCAATATCTAAGAAATCAGATACTAAGCTTAAACCTTTTTTCAAAACAGGCGGCACCGAATCACGCTCAACCAAAGGCTGCAGAATCTCAATGGCAATATTTTTTGCAATACGTTTACCAGGATTAAAATGTTTGACAAACAAATCTTTGTATATAAGAGGAAGTCTGCAGTAGAAAAGATAAAAATCCGTTAATATAAAATCAGGTATTGTCTCAGCTTCTCGAAGTGCTAGACCTAAATGGATGATCGAATTCAGGTATTCCGCCGAAGTTGTACTTTGTAGATTAAAGTCTTTTAGTAAACGAAGAGCCTTCCATTTTTCAATATTGTTTCCTAGATAATGATGGCATAGAAACAGTAAATAATACATTCGTATCTGCGGATGAACAATAAGCATGTCCTTCTCCAAATTTGCAGTTTGAAATTCTTCTTGATAAAACATTATATGTGGCTTTGCTTTTGGAGTAAGGTAAAATAAATCAGAACACGAATGCTTATATCGCTGCACAAAATGTAATCCAATATTTTCTAACATTTTACTACTGGGGTGAGGCTTCAAACCAGGAGTTATCATCTGATGATCGGTCGAACTTTTAAATTGACATAGTTGAATTATCTCTAAAGTTTTCCCTAGTTGTTTGCGTTGAAAAAAGAATTCGGCCAGTAGAAGCCAACCGGTATATGAATCAGAAAACGTACCTAGTATGGTATACCAAATGCATTTCTTGTAGTCTGGATAGAATGTTTTATTACATTTTCGATTTTGTAAATTTGTATATCCATCATGTGATATCATAAATGGATAATGCTTCGCCAAAGATCCGCACAGTTTTGAAAACCAAATGAAGCATACGTGTTTTAAAAGCTTACATTTTCTATGAGACATAATACAATAAATAGGCTGATATATGGCATTACTACCGCCATATCCTATCCCATGCATATAATGTAAAAGCGGATAGATGATTGAGTCTATGTTAGAATAGTTTTTTCTGAACAATTCAGAAGTTAAAGGTGTTTTAATATGGTCAAACAAATATGAAAGAGTTTGTATTTGTTTTAAGGAATTATTTTCACTAGTGAAAAAATTACGCAAAAGTGATAGTAATAACTTCTTTTTAGGTACATCAATTTTTCCTTTTATCAAATTGTTCTTTGGTAGAAAGTAGTTTGGAAGGATATTGTACTGTATAAAAAATACTAGTCTTTTTATGCATGCTTGAAAGCATTCAAACAATTTGCAAGGTTGCCATTCAGAAATCTGAGATTCTTCAATCATCCAGAATAATACTGTTTTCATAAAGTATGAACACATGGTATCTTTTATTTTTTGGTGAACTACTAGTAATTCTTTTAATGTATATTTTAGTAACGCATAACACACAATTTGTGTATGATTAAACGAATGAACAAGCATTTTTTCCGCAATTGAGAAAGACATTCTCCATTCGTAAGGATTTTCCTTCTTGTTGTTAAATTTACTTCCAATAGGTGCCAGTAAGACATTATCTCGTATTATATCTTCAATCAGTTCTGTTGGGGGCCATTCATAATTGCGAGGTCTTGTTATCCACTCTGCAGCTATTGTTGGCCACGAATGACATTTGTAAGTAGACAAGAAATCATACGATCCACAAATGGTAGAAGAACAAGGACCATGTATCTCTGAAAAATTCTCCAAAAATGTGCTTGTAGCATTTGGCATATTTATGTTTTGTATTAACTGTTTGTAGTGTTCATTTGATAATATAATGTGGTTTCCAGAGTACACATGGTTCGGTTGTATCCCATTTCTTTTTTTCATATGTAGCTCAATATGAACATATCCCGGTGGTGTATTTTCGAAATCTAAAAAAAGTCCATATTGCAAGTCACTTGGTATTTCAGATTTTGTATTGTATACTGTGTCCACCTGGTTGATATACATAATATCTAAGTCACTCCCTGGTAAGTCTAAGCCTTCTGATTTACTTCCACTGGTCACTACTCGCCAATTAGGACTGTACTGTAAAGCATGATCTAGCACTTTAAAGAATATCCTTCGTGCTCGGACGTCTTTTTCAGAGCCAACAATTTTGCAAAGAAAATCAAAAAGTTCAAGTGAGAAATTTGACTCTAGCATCGCGGCTGGAAATTCCATAGCTACAATTAAAAGAGTTATAGCATGATCACTGAATAATGAAAAACGTAAAATATGTTTAGGTCAAGCCTTGAAATTGAAAACAAAAAGTTAAGACCTTTCAATTATGTTCTCAGTTTTAAAAATCATAAAGAATGATAGAAACCATATAATTCATGCTTCGGAATGGCAAGCATGTGCTAGAATCAAAATAGTTGTTTGTTTAAACATTTTAAACAATATATTATCTAAAAGAAACTGCTTTCAATTCAGTGACAAGTTCAGTATAGTGTGGAGGTAGGTCCATGGTATCAATTCGGCCTAAAATCAATTATTTTTAAATATATTTTGAAAAATTTTGTTGTTGTGTTTTAGATAGAAGACACCAACATAAATCTGTAAAGCTAGGTGGATAAGATATTGCACAGTGATCTGGAAGGATTTTTTCTCTATGGGCCCAGGACCCCCCAAAAATAAATTCAATGGGCCATTTTTAGAATTAATGGGCCATGTTGTCAAATGAGTGGGCCATTCGTTTACAATAAAAAAATAAAAAAAGTGTATATTTCACTTTACTTACAAGTATGATTCTAATTAATATCATGGATATTGTTCCTGTGGTTTTGTAATTTCAATTTCAATGAATATACAATAACTTCTTCCAAACCGGGCAATATTCACGATAACCTTTATTTACAATGTTAAAACTGGTACTGTTCCCTTGTTCATGTTCATGGTTTTTGTAAATTAAATTTGTGTCTTCGTCGATACCATACTTATTAGAGGACGTTTATGGCATTTCCTCTGCACTTGTATTATTATTACTTCATCACGATAACAAGAATAACAGTAGAGAGCAACGTTAATTAATAAGACACAACAACAATTCACTGAAGGCATGTTTATAAAATGTCAAAACGAGCCAAAGACCAAACAAATAGACAAGGACAGTTAAGCCCGTTTATTGAGACAAATACTATGCTATTCATAAAAAGGCTTTTGGGTTTTTCAATCGAAATAATAGCAAGCTTACTTAAAAGATTATAATTAGAGAAGAATTCTCGCCTGTACTAGCCAATTTTCACAAATTTAAAGTTGTTTATAAAAAAATATATCATGAATGATGGTTAATTACGTTTTTTGGGTAATCAGTCATATCGCATGTTGCTATTATTACCATAGGAAAACACCCGAGACGTCCCAAAAATATATAGGTGCTCCTATAATTGGAGTAAACACTACACAGTTGTGTACTCACACATGGCGGCACGAAATACAATCGGAAATCCATTTGACGATATCTCAACGTTTCAAAACGAAGTGAAAAATATCATGCGCCACGCGGGCGCTTACATTTGTCACTCTATCCGCCATTTCTGGTCGATAAGCGCAATTGGCGCAAGGCGCACGTCCTTCCCGATCACTGAAATTGCATACAACGTATATTGAATTAATTAACTAATATTTGTCTCTAGATGTTCATTTTCTTATTGTCTGTCCTTGCTGCTTACTATCTATATTTTTTTTTGGTTTTAACATAAAATATAACATGGTTACAGTAATGAGGAAAATGAAATTCTATGCACAAAATAGATCAAAAAAAAAATTTAAAATGAAACGGTAACTTACTTCAATAATGATATGCACGCAACTTTTATATGGTAATATGTTGACTGTAGAACATGAACGATTCTGTTTTTATATACTCATGCACCTTCCGTGTTGTTCATAACGTTCCCAAAATTTGTTTTTTCATTGTTTTACTTTATAGATATTCATATTAGTTATATTGTAAAAGAAATTATTTCATTTACAAGGAAGTTGTCTAAAAATTAGTGTTTTTTAGTTAATTCTTCCTTAAAAATAAAAGAACTATGTAACCGCTTCGTTGGTCTCGTGGTATCGTGCGGGAGGTCACGGATTCAATTTCTGGCCGATACAAACTGAAAACTTTGTTATTCGTGGAAAACAAACTATACACAAAACAAAACTGAGAATATGCACCCTCTTTATATGTAAAAACGCTCAGTGCAATATAAAAGTTCAAGTTTAAAAACTTTACATAAATGTAGGAGTAAGCCGGACTACTCTGCATGCCTTATATTATCATATAATTGAGAATGGAAACGGGGAATGTGTCAATGAGACAACAACCCGACCAAAAGAGCAGAAAACAGCACAAGGCCACCAAATGGGTCTTTAACACAGCGAGAAAATTCCGCACCCGGAGGCGGGCTTTAGCTGGCCCTTAAGCAATAATGAATACTAGTTCAGCGAAAATGGAAGTCACGCTAAACTCCGAGACATATACATGATCCAAAATTGAAAAAAAATATACAAGACTAACAAAGGTCAGAGGTTCCTGTCTTGGGACAGGTGCAAAAATGTGACGGGGTTAAACATGTTTTGTGAGATCTCAACTCTTAGCAAAAATATCATACATTTATATTCTGTATAAGTTGCATTTTACAAAGTATTTCTACGAGCACACATACATATACATATTTGGTGACACTTAAACGATCACAGGAGAAAAAAAATAAAAACAAAAACCGGATTTCAACTGTCTTGCTATAACTTTAGCCAATGTGGAATAAACAAACACACGCATGTAGTAAAACACAGTTCAAAAGTAGTCCGAGTCCGATGTTAGAATATATGGGTAATTAAAGAAACTCAGCAAAATGACAATGACAAAAATAAATTAACAAATGGCTACTAGCAGTTACTGACATTCCAGCTCCAGACCTCAATTGCCTTAATTACCAAAATGCCAAAGCTCATGCAGCAACCTGTCATTTTTTAAAATTCAAACCAAAATTTTGACAAAATGCAAACCATTAGTACATGTATTAACACCAGGTACATAATTTAAAAGTTGTATCTTGAAAACTGTAGTCATATACTTATTAACTTTCCAATTCAAGGGGCCAATGAATATTTACTAAAACTACAAATGAGCAATAAATACATACTTGTCCATCTTGCATTAATCATGTGTTATCTAAATGTCTTTGATTTTGTGTGTCGTTATTTGATCAGTTGCTGGCTTATTGTATATATCCCACATCTCCCTTTATTCCAAAAAAGGAATTTACCAAGTTGAACGCTTTATTTTTTTTTAACATTACTTGTATACTTGTTAAATAAAACTCCTTATAAGACTGCGAATGCCCTTGGGCCTTTTTCGTTGCTTATACAGGCACCTTTTTCAATCGTCTGTGAGTCGTTTTGTTCCCCACTTTGTAAAATGGTGCGTTTTTAGTCATCTTTACTTGTACAGTATGTCCAACTCAACACATCAAAAACAAATCCATCCCTGAAGACCCAAACGTAAATTAACATGAATCTAAAATAAACATGTTAAGGATGTACACCTCTGAGGAGCCAACAATTTCTAGAATTAAACTCTTTTTCTTAACCTGATTTTTGGGTTTATATGACTGTAAAAAAATAATTGGTGAAGAAAAAATCATATGATGGTGCACTTCTTTTTTTGCTACGGCCATTTGAAAGTACACAATTTTGAAGATTTTCCCATTTTTCATCAACTTTTACCCATTTTGAGGCTAATATTATGAAAAAAATCACAATTTCACAATTAAACTTTTTTCATACTTTCACTAAAGATGAAGTGGACCAATCTGAATAAATTTTACTTAAAAAAAAACTATAGGTAGGTGTTAATATAAGAAAGTTTTATAAAATTTTGTTGCTTTTTCGTGTCAAATTTGCTATGCTGTCAATTTTGTAAATTTGGGATTTTTCTAATTTTTTTTAGAACAGACAGCATATTATTTCAACTTCTTTGTTATAAATGATTGAAAAAATACATATCTAAGAATCTGAAAAGAAAAAAATTGATATGGGATGTACATATTTCTGGTAAAATTATTTCTTATACCCTTCACCCATTTTCTCAACATTTTGGCTAAAGAGACTGACTTGATTGGTTATAAAATGTGAAAATTTTATTACTCAAATACTACCTATTGTAAATACACAATTTTTTCACAGAGTTAATTTTGATTATAATGTTTTTTAAATGCATTGATATTTTCCACTTGTATCACATGTTTTGGAAATAATTCCAGAATGAGATTTCAACGAGACTGAAACGTAAGAAGGTCAGTTTCTTTTGTCGATTGTATAATATAGGTTAATGAAAATAATTTATTTCAGAATGAAATTGACAAAAAAAATGTAACGAGATCTGAATAGTGTTTCCTCTGTAGTGTTTTGTAAATTTCCTACTAATTCAATATTACATTCCACTGATTTAATTTTATTTCGTCCTAACTGAGTGCACATTTAGTGTTGACATGCCATATTTTCATGGCTTTGTTAAGTTCGGCCAAATACCATCTTTCTTCTTGAACGTTCAATGCCAACAAATCATTTTCTGTCCGAGTTTCCACGTTGGCTTATACGGAGCGTTTTTTTGTTATTGCTGAATTCTTTTCCAAAGAAATTTTTATCCTATTTTGCTAGCAGCGTTTTGGCGATATTTCTAAAACGAATGACGTTTAACAAAATTGCCAGTAATAGTAGTACAATTCTCCGTATGTTCACAAATTATCCCGAATTTCTATAATTTGGATTTCTACTTTTAAAATATAATTTCATCGGAAACAGCCATGCATGAAAAAAAAAGAATTTATTGCAAGCAAAAAACAAACAAACAAAACATCTCGGTCTGCATAATAGCATATATAGATCATTCGTACAAATGCTTACTTATGCGCACAAATCAATCGTCCAAATGCGACTGCCATACAAGTGAGAGGTTTAGCTAGCTATAAAACCAGGTTTAATCCACCATTTTCTACATAAGGAAATGCCTGTACCAAGTCAGGAATATGACAGTTGTTTTCCATTCGTCAGATGTGTTTGAACTTTTTATTTTGCCATTTTTATAAAGGACTTTTCGTTTTGAATTTCCCTTGAAGTTCGGTATTTTTGTTATTTTACTTTTTATCAATAGAAATAGAAAAAGTAAAAAGTAAATAGAATAAGAAGAAGGGGAGGAAGACAACGAAGCAATTAAAGTCAAATAATGTTTTGCATCAAAGTTCTAGGCACTCGGTATCTATGCTAAATTACAATGAAAATAAATCATGTTTACTAAAAATAAAACGTTATTTTTGTGTCGTCGACCGCCAGAAACACGACGGAACCTTCTGCATTGACTTGCATCTATAAACGTTAATATCGTCTACTTGTATCACATGTTTTCGAAATAATTCCCGAAAGAGATTTCAACGAGACTGAAACATCAGAAGAATTCATCCTTAAACATAAAACGGCGTAAGAGTGTTACGGTAAGTGACGCCACTAACTAGTTATCTTGCGACGTCTCTATATTATTAACCTTTAGTCCATTTTTGGTAATATCCTTTTGGCGTACGTCGGTATTTATACATCCCGCCATTGTGTTATTGTGCAATGGTCATTTTTTGTATTCTTGTCTTTCATTTTTGCTAATGTGCTTTGTCTATAGAGTGTCTATATACCATTTTATTTTTCTTTGTTGACATAGTTGTTTGTTTTTGTAGTGATTGAGATAATAACACAATGTTGACTGCTGTACCCTAATTTTTGACATTTTTACCTATTACATTGTATTATAAAAATAAGGAGTTGAAGTATGATTGCCAATGAGACAACTATCCAACAAAGTTCAAATAAAGTGGATGTTTGTATTGTTCACACATTGTTGTCAATATAATGGAATTTTATGCGACTGTCATACAAGTGAGAGGTTTAGCTAGCTATAAAACTAGTTTTAATCCATCATTTTCTACATAAGGAAATGCCTGTATTAAGTACTTTATCAATTTTTATATGACACGAATCCAGGAAAGCGCTTCGGACGCACGAAGTTTATAAAGTGTTGTTTTAATATTTTAAAGCACTGGGTCGATATCGCTGACGGCTGACTATCTGTCCGCGAGAGTATCATTCGCACAATAATCAGTACTTCAGTACTGCCATAACATATAACAAATCTTTCTAAAATTCTCCATTCATCAATTTATAAATAAAAAAACTAAGATTTCAACTCCCTCAGGCCAAGTTTGCGTTAGATGGATTCGGCTATAATTTATTCTAGGTCCTTTTTAGGTCATATAGCTCCCCAATTCTTTCGGTTCTTATACACAATTGACATACAAATATTCGGCTATGCGCTTTCGTGATGAAGGTAAATCAAGAAAAGCGCTTCAGACAAACGAAATGTATAAAGTGTTGTTTTCATTTTTTACAGAACTGGGTTGATACCGCTGCTGGTGAACTATTAGCCCCTGATTATATCACCAGCTCAGTAGTCAGTACTTCGGTACTGAAATGATGTATAACGAACCTTTCTGAAACGGTATGTTTATAAATTCATAATTTTTTAAGAAATATAGGTTTAAACTCCCTCAGGTAAATTAAGTTGATGTCTATCATTTTAGGTCCTTTTTGGTCATATATCTCTCTCTAACTGCATAATTGGCATTCAAATATTCGGTTTTGAGCATTCCTGATGAAGGTAAATCCAGAAAAGTGCTTCAGACGCATGAAATTTATAAAGTGTTGTTTTCATTTTTTTATATCCTGGTTTGCCTACATTTAATGCAGGTTTACAATACTGAATAATACTGTTTTCATAAAGTATGAACACATGGTATCTTTTATTTTTTGGTGAACTACTAGTTCTTCTTTTAATGTATATTTTAGTAACGCATAACACACAATTTGTGTATGATTAAACGAATGAACAAGCATTTTTTCCGCAATTGAGAAAGACATTCTCCATTCGTAAGGATTTTCCTTCTTGTTGTTAAATTTACTTCCAATAGGTGCCAGTAAGACATTATCTCGTATTATATCTTCAATCAGTTCTGTTGGGGGCCATTCATAATTGCGAGGTCTTGTTATCCACTCTGCAGCTATTGTTGGCCACGAATGACATTTGTAAGTAGACAAGAAATCATACGATCCACAAATGGTAGAAGAACAAGGACCATGTATCTCTGAAAAATTCTCCAAAAATGTGCCTGTAGCATTTGGCATATTTATGTTTTGTATTAACTATTTGTAGTGTTCATTTGATAATATAATGTGGTTTCCAGAGTACACATGGTTCGGTTGTATCCCATTTCTTTTTTTCATATGTAGCTCAATATGAACATATCCCGGTGGTGTATTTTCGAAATCTAAAAAAAGTCCATATTGCAAGTCACTTGGTATTTCAGATTTTGTATTGTATACTGTGTCCACCTGGTTGATATACATAATATCTAAGTCACTCCCTGGTAAGTCTAAGCCTTCTGATTTACTTCCACTGGTCACTACTCGCCAATTAGGACTGTACTGTAAAGCATGATCTAGCACTTTAAAGAATATCCTTCGTGCTCGGACGTCTTTTTCAGAGCCAACAATTTTGCAAAGAAAATCAAAAAGTTCAAGTGAGAAATTTGACTCTAGCATCGCGGCTGGAAATTCCATAGCTACAATTAAAAGAGTTATAGCATGATCACTGAATAATGAAAAACGTAAAATATGTTTAGGTCAAGCCTTGAAATTGAAAACAAAAAGTTAAGACCTTTCAATTATGTTCTCAGTTTTAAAAATCATAAAGAATGATAGAAACCATATAATTCATGCTTCGAAATGGCAAGCATGTGCTACAATCAAAATAGTTGTTTGTTTAAACATTTTAAACAATATATTATCGAAAAGAAACTGCTTTCAGTTCAGTGACAAGTTCAGTATAGTGTGGAGGTAGGTCCATGGTATCAATTCGGCCTAAAATCAATTATTTTTAAATATATTTTGAAAAATTTTGTTGTTGTGTTTTAGATAGAAGACACCAACATAAATCTGTAAAGCTAGGTGGATAAGATATTGCATACAACGTATATTGAATTAATTAACGAATATTTGTCTCTAGATGTTCATTTTCTTATTGTCTGTCCTTGCTGCTTACTATCTATATATTTTTTTGGTTTTAACATAAAATATAACATGGTTACAGTAATGAGGAAAATGAAATTCTATGCACAAAATAGATCAAAAAAAATATTTAAAATGAAACGGTAACTTACTTCAATAATGATATGCACGCAACTTTTATATGGTAATATGTTGACTGTAGAACATGAACGATTCTGTTTTTATATACTCATGCACCTTCCGTGTTGTTCATAACGTTCCCAAAATTTGTTTTTTCATTGTTTTACTTTATAGATATTCATATTAGTTATATTGTAAAAGAAATTATTTCATTTACAAGGAAGTTGTCTAAAAATTAGTGTTTTTTAGTTAATTCTTCCTTAAAAATAAAAGAACTATGTAACCGCTTCGGTGGTCTCGTTGTATCGTGCAGGAGGTCACGGATTCAATTTCTGGCCGATTCAAACTGAAAACTTTGTTATTCGTGGAAAACAAACTATACACAAAACAAAACTGAGAATATGCACCCTCTTTATATGTAAAAACGCTCAGTGCAATATAAAAGTTTAAGCTTAAAAACTTTACATAAATGTAGGAGTAAGCTGGACTACTCTGCATGCCTTATATTATCATATAATTGAGAATGGAAACGGGGAATGTGTCAATGAGACAACAACCCGACCAAAAGAGCAGAAAACAGCACAAGGCCACCAAATGGGTCTTTAACACAGCGAGAAAATTCCGCACCCGGAGGCGGGCTTTAGCTGGCCCTTAAGCAATAATGAATACTAGTTCAGCGAAAATGGAAGTCACGCTAAACTCCGAGACATATACATGATCCAAAATTGAAAAAAAATATACAAGACTAACAAAGGTCAGAGGTTCCTGTCTTGGGACAGGTGCAAACATGTGACGGGGTTAAACATGTTTTGTGAGATCTCAACTCTTAGCAAAAATATCATACATTTATATTCTGTATAAGTTGCATTTTACAAAGTATTTCTACGAGCACACATACATATACATATTTGGTGACACTTAAACGATCACAGGAGAAAAAAATAAAAACAAAAACCGGATTTCAACTGTCTTGCTATAACTTAAGCCAATGTGAAATAAACATACACACGCATGTAGTAAAACACAGTTCAAAAGTAGTCCGAGTCCGATGTTAGAATATATGGGTAATTAAAGAAACTAAGCAAAATGACAATGACAAAAATAAATTAACAAATGGCTACTAGCAGTTACTGACATTCCAGCTCCAGACCTCAATTGCCTTAATTACCAAAATGCCAAAGCTCATGCAGCAACCTGTCATTTTTTAAAATTCAAACCAAAATTTTGACAAAATGCAAACCATTAGTACATGTATTAACACCAGGTACATAATTTAAAAGTTGTATCTTGAAAACTGTAGTCATATACTTATTAACTTTCCAATTCAAGGGGCCAATGAATATTTACTAAAACTACAAATGAGCAATAAATACATACTTGTCCATCTTGCATTAATCATGTGTTATCTAAATGTCTTTGATTTTGTGTGTCGTTATTTGATCAGTTGCTGGCTTATTGTATATATCCCACATCTCCCTTTATTCCAAAAAAGGAATTTACCAAGTTGAACGCTTTATTTTTTTTTAACATTACTTGTATACTTGTTAAATAAAACTCCTTATAAGACTGCGAATGCCCTTGGGCCTTTTTCGTTGCTTATACAGGCACCTTTTTCAATCGTCTGTGAGTCGTTTTGTTCCCCACTTTGTAAAATGGTGCGTTTTTAGTCATCTTTACTTGTACATTATGTCCAACTCAACACATCAAAAACAAATCCATCCCTGAAGACCCAAACGTAAATTAACATGAATCTAAAATAAACATGTTAAGGATGTACACCTCTGAGGAGCCAACAATTTCTAGAATTAAACTCTTTTTCTTAACCTGATTTTTGGGTTTATATGACTGTAAAAAAATAATTGGTGAAGAAAAAATCATATGATGGTGCACTTCTTTTTTTGCTACGGCCATTTGAAAGTACCCAATTTTGAAGATTTTCCCATTTTTCATCAATTTTTACCCATTTTGAGGCTAATATTATGAAAAAAATCACAATTTCACAATTAAACTTTTTTCATACTTTCACTAAAGATGAAGTGGACCAATCTGAATAAATTTTACTTAAAAAAAAACTATAGGTAGGTGTTAATATAAGAAAGTTTTATAAAATTTTGTTGCTTTTTCGTGTCAAATTTGCTATGCTGTCAATTTTGTAAATTTGGGATTTTTCTAAATTTTTTTTAGAACAGACAGCATATTATTTCAACTTCTTTGTTATAAATGATTGAAAAAATACATATCTAAGAAATTTGAGAAGAAAAAATTGATATGGGATGTACATATTTCTGGTAAAATTATTTCTTATACTCTTCACCCATTTTCTCAACATTTTGGCTAAAGAGACTGACTTGATTGGTTATAAAATGTGAAAATTTTATTACTCAAATACTACCTATTGTAAATACACAATTTTTTCACAGAGTTAATTTTGATTATAATGTTTTTTAAATGCATTGATATTTTCCACTTGTATCACATGTTTTGGAAATAATTCCAGAATGAGATTTCAACGAGACTGAAACGTAAGAAGGTCAGTTTCTTTTGTCGATTGTATAATATAGGTTAATGAAAATAATTTATTTCAGAATGAAATTGACAAAAAAAAATGTAACGAGATCTGAATAGTGTTTCCTCTGTAGTGTTTTGTAAATTTCCTACTAATTCAATATTACATTCCACTGATTTAATTTTATTTCGTCCTAACTGAGTGCACATTTAGTGTTGACATGCCATATTTTCATGGCTTTGTTAAGTTCGGCCAAATACCATCTTTCTTCTTGAACGTTCAATGCCAACAAATCATTTTCTGTCCGAGTTTCCACGTTGGCTTATACGGAGCGTTTTTTTGTTATTGCTGAATTCTTTTCCAAAGAAATTTTTATCCTATTTTGCTAGCAGCGTTTTGGCGATATTTCTAAAACGAATGACGTTTAACAAAATTGCCAGTAATAGTAGTACAATTCTCCGTATGTTCACAAATTATCCCGAATTTCTATAATTTGGATTTCTACTTTTAAAATATAATTTCATCGGAAACAGCCATGCATAAAAAAAAAGAAATGTATTGCAAGCAAAAAACAAACAAACAAAACATCTCGGTCTGCATAATAGCATATATAGATCATTCGTACAAATGCTTACTTATGCGCACAAATCAATCGTCCAAATGCGACTGCCATACAAGTGAGAGGTTTAGCTAGCTATAAAACCAGGTTTAATCCACCATTTTCTACATAAGGAAATGCCTGTACCAAGTCAGGAATATGACAGTTGTTTTCCATTCGTCAGATGTGTTTGAACTTTTTATTTTGCCATTTTTATAAAGGACTTTTCGTTTTGAATTTCCCTTGAAGTTCGGTATTTTTGTTATTTTACTTTTTATCAATAGAAATAGAAAAAGTAAAAAGTAAATAGAATAAGAAGAAGGGGAGGAAGACAACGAAGCAATTAAAGTCAAATAATGTTTTGCATCAAAGTTCTAGGCACTCGGTATCTATGCTAAATTACAATGAAAATAAATAATGTTTACTAAAAATAAAACGTTATTTTTGTGTCGTCGACCGCCAGAAACACGACGGAACCTTCTGCATTGACTTGCATCTATAAACGTTAATATCGTCTACTTGTATCACATGTTTTCGAAATAATTCCCGAAAGAGATTTCAACGAGACTGAAACATCAGAAGAATTCATCCTTAAACATAAAACGGCGTAAGAGTGTTACGGTAAGTGACGCCACTAACTAGTTATCTTGCGACGTCTCTATATTATTAACCTTTAGTCCATTTTTGGTAATATCCTTTTGGCGTACGTCGGTATTTATACATCCCGCCATTGTGTTATTGTGCAATGGTCATTTTTTGTATTCTTGTCTTTCATTTTTGCTTATGTGCTTTGTCTATAGAGTGTCTATATACCATTTTATTTTTCTTTGTTGACATAGTTGTTTGTTTTTGTAGTGATTGAGATTATAACACAATGTTGACTGCTGTACCCTAATTTTTGACATTTTTACCTATTACATTGTATTATAAAAATAAGGAGTTGAAGTATGATTGCCAATGAGACAACTATCCAACAAAGTTCAAATAAAATGGATGTTTGTATTGTTCACACATTGTTGTCAATATAATGGAATTTTATGCGACTGTCATACAAGTGAGAGGTTTAGCTAGCTATAAAACTAGTTTTAATCCATCATTTTCTACATAAGGAAATGCCTGTATTAAGTACTTTATCAATTTTTATATGACACGAATCCAGGAAAGCGCTTCGGACGCACGAAGTTTATAAAGTGTTGTTTTAATATTTTAAAGCACTGGGTCGATATCGCTGACGGCTGACTATCTGTCCGCGAGAGTATCATTCGCACAATAATCAGTACTTCAGTACTGCCATAACATATAACAAAACTTTCTAAAATTCTCCATTCATCAATTTATAAATAAAAAAACTAAGATTTCAACTCCCTCAGGCCAAGTTTGCCTTAGATGGATTCGGCTATAATTTATTCTAGGTCCTTTTTAGGTCATATAGCTCCCCAATTCTTTCGGTTCTTATACACAATTGACATACAAATATTCGGCTATGCGCTTTCGTGATGAAGGTAAATCAAGAAAAGCGCTTCAGACAAACGAAATGTATAAAGTGTTGTTTTCATTTTTTACAGAACTGGGTTGATACCGCTGCTGGTGAACTATTAGCCCCTGATTATATCACCAGCTCAGTAGTCAGTACTTCGGTACTGAAATGATGTATAACGAACCTTTCTGAAACGGTATGTTTATAAATTCATAATTTTTTAAGAAATATAGGTTTAAACTCCCTCAGGTAAATTAAGTTGATGTCTATCATTTTAGGTCCTTTTTGGTCATATATCTCTCTCTAACTGCATAATTGGCATTCAAATATTCGGTTTTGAGCATTCCTGATGAAGGTAAATCCAGAAAAGTGCTTCAGACGCATGAAATTTATAAAGTGTTGTTTTCATTTTTTTATATCCTGGTTTGCCTACATTTAATTCAGGTTTATAAAAAAAAACACGCGTTTTGTTATTTTAACAATCATAGTTTATTTCCAAATTGTATAGTCATATTTTTTACCTTTATTTTACCTGTTAAATTTTCACGGGAAAGGATACTGAGTTTTACTATTAGATTAAGGGAAATTGCAAAAATACTTGTAAAA